CAAGAGCCAACTAGCTGTCTAGGTGCGATTCACACAAGTAAAATGTAGCCTATGTACATTTAATACCAGTTTGGCTGAATATTACCTTAATTAAAAAAAAAAAAAAAATTTGGATAAAATCAACTTATTAAAAACAATTTTATAATTTATTCATATGAGTCACTATTGCTGTCCTCCTAAGGGTTCCAGTAAAAAGACCGCTGTAAAACTGAATTTTTGTAAAAAGTGATTTCACCCGAGGTTTACAGTAAATTGTGTCACATTTAGTCAAAGTGTTTTGATTATCTTAATAGTTCGCTTCAAATTGGTGTTTTTTTTTAATCTGTGATTATAATCACACCCCTTTATTCAAACAAACATCTCATGGATGAGCATACATCCAATCTTAATCAGTTTAATTGTTATTTTTAGTCGCTAATGATATGACTGATATCTCGTAAAATGATTCCATCTATAAATACCAATGTCTGCTGCTTCTTAGATTGTCTGTCAAATACATTGTAAACAGTATCTATGTCGTTATGGATGTTTCTTTCCTCTGTGTTCGGTTTTTGTGTGGTTCTATGCACGTCACTGTGGTCATAAATGCCAAGTTGGCATTTTTTTTATTTTATAATTCAATGTATCAGCTGCTATGACAATTGTAATCCGTGAATTCACACATATCCTCAGTTGTGTTACTATCAATTAATTTAAAAAGTGTCGCAGCTGCGATTTGTCACGGTTTCGTTGATTTTTTTATTTCGTGAAAGGGTAAGTCACTGGAACAGTACTCATGTTTTTTTTGTTTTTTTTTGCTTGGCTTTTATTACACTCATATGCAGTCTTTATTTGTACTATAAGGCCAGTGGTCCAAAATACATAAATAAATAAATATAAATCTAAAGTTGGTCAATTACTATTTTATTTACATCACATCTTAGTCTTAAAGAATGAAATAAAAAAGCTGACAATATTTTGAGTAGAGAGGCATTTACAGAGGTCAATAATGGGACAATAATGGAGGCAAAAAATAATAATGAGATAAATACTTAAATCTGAAGGTCTGAATAAAAGGGCAGACAAGAACAAAATCATACTCTTCTTCAATTTCCTTTGAAGCACACGAGATGCAAAGCTGTTCATGTCTTTCAGTAATATTTTTTCTGTCAGTTTCAGTACGTATTAAATGGTGACAGGAACAGCGTAAACGTGACAACATTACTCTGTGGGAATGAATATTTACAAGTGACAGATATCTTTCGGGTTCTAGGCTTGTTTTGAAACTACGATAAGTAACCAATTTATCAAGTGATTCAGAAAACAATACTTCCTTAAAACGAGAAGTGAATAACTTAACAAAATCATCTTATGTTACAGACTTGTTGAGTTGGTTTTTATATACCTACATTGCATGGACTGTATGTAGCTCATTCAAATGCATTAAAGCAATATGTGCTACTATTAGTAATATCCTCACAGCAAATCATTCAATTATGATCAATCCTGAGTCTTTGTATTTCTTCAAGTTACATGAGTTGACATTTTGTAATTTCCTTTTGAATTCTAATACAAGTATTTTCACTGGATTTTATTTTGAGTGAAAATAAATTCTAAGTGAGTAATTGATGTGAAAGTTAAATTATATGTGTGAACTGAGTCACTGTTCAGTTCACATTTCAATTACACCTTCCTACTTCATCTAACAGTGTTTTTTTATAAAAAACGCAGGCTGGTTTGTGAGATAGGAAAAAATCATGATTAGGGTACCATATTTACTCTATTAGTAGTGCATCTGAAAATGATCATATTTTAAGAAATAATATTAATTTAATAAATGCGGACAATTATAGAATTTTCAGATTGAAATA